CCCCCCCCCCCGTAAGGTGAAAGGTGAAAAACTGTACTTCTGGTTGTGATACTGACCTACTATGTGGTAAGACTAGTTTATAAGGTACATAGTATATGTTAATGTATTGTTTCACTGGGCACAAAAACTTAAAGGTTCACAAACTGAAACTTGGATACCAATGCTTGAGTACAAAAGAGGAATACAACTAAGGATGTCAGTATAGGTAAATAATATGCACAAATTTAAACCAAAACCTAATCGCTTCTGTGCTTTGTCCCAGGCATCTATAAACTAAGTTTCATTGAAATCAGATAAGACGTTCTTCAGGTACATACATACATACAGGTGACACACATTAGATTAACTTTTAATATAGTTGAATTAACTTTTAATATAATTCTATATACCGGTAGGCTTGTTTTAATTGCAGTTTAATTTAACATAGAACTGCATTTTAATTCAAGTTTAATTTAATAAAAGTTGAATATCCTGTGACTTAAAGAGTCACAGGTGACTTTAGTAAAGAGGGTAGGTGTGGTACAATTATATTAATATAAATTATGAAAATAGTGAGGGTGGTGACTTGATAAGTCGTCACTTGGTAGGTGTAAAGTCGTCACAAAGATGACACCACAAATGTACACGAACACACACGCACACACACGGTTATCCTGGACTCCAAGTGAGTGCTATGCACACTTGAGTATTTTGTTTTAACATATCTTTCGATGTTTTTAAAAATATATTATCAAGCATTTTTTTTCATGAAAATGCTGGTACCTAGTTTACCCATACTAAATTTGTTTAATACCCCAGGCTTGATCCTAACAACTGAATTGTCACTCACTAACTTTAACAAACTAAAGGAAATATACAGGCAACATACATGGCAGACAAATAAGTTTAAAATTTATCAAGCCCTGATACACTCCTCTTTATTAAATTTTCAACATTTTAACAGTTAATATGAAATAAAGTATAATTTTAGAATTTACCAATCACATAACCCTTACCAAAGTATATTTTCTTAACAGAGCAGCATCTTTAAATTTACATATGAATAAGACACTTGATTAGCTCCGCTATCGACTTTGTCGAGCGGAGCTTATCATATGAGTGATTGTCCGTTGTCGTCCGTGTCAATGTTTTACTTTTTCGACTTCTTCTTGAAAACTACAAGCCTGAATGCTTTGATACTTGGTGTATATGTACCTTGGGTAGACCTCTCTCAGATTTGTTCATTTCATGATCATATCTTCAATTCTCTAATTTTGGTGAATATTTTTGTCATTTTTGGTAAAAAGTGATATTTTTGACTTCTTGTTAAAAACCGCAAGTCCAATTGCTTTGATATTACATATATAGGTACTACATGTGGATCTCTCTCAGATTTGTTCATTTCATGATGATATCTTTAATTCTCTAATTTTGGTGAATATTTTTGTCATTTTTGGTAAAAAGTGATATTTTCGCCTACTTGTTAAAAACCGCAAGTGCAATTGCTTTGATATTACATATATAGGTACTACATGTGGACCTTTCTCAGATTTGTTCATTTTGTGATGATATCTTTAATTCTCTAATTTTGGTGAATATTTTTAGCTCCGTTATCGACTTTGTCGAGCGGAGCTTATCATATGAGTGACTGTCCGTCGTCGTCGTCCGTGTCAATGTTTTACTTTTTCGACTTCTTCTTGAAAACTATAAGCCTGAATGCTTTGATACTTGGTGTATGTGTACCTTGGGTAGACCTCTCTTAGGTTTGTTCATTTCATGATGATATCTCCAATTCTCTAATTTTGGTGAATATTTTTCTCATTTTTGGTAAAAAGTGATATTTTCGACTTCTTGTTAAAAACTGTATGTTCGATTGCTTTGATACTATACATATTGTTAATTTTCTAATGATGTCTTCAGTTCTTTAATTGAAATGTGCATTGCTAACAGCGGAGCTATCTCAGATGATAGGCTGCTTGTTGTCATTTTTGGTAAAAAGTAATATTTTCGACTTCTTGTTAAAAACTGCAAGTCCAATTGCTTTGATGTTACATACATAGGTACTACAAGTGAACCTGTCTCAGATTTGTTCATTTCGTGATAATATCTTCAATTCTCTAATTTTGGTGAATATTTTTGTCATTTTTGGTAAAAAGTGATATTTTCGACTTCTTGTTAAAAACCAATAGTCCAATTGCTTTGATACTACATATATAGGTACTACATGTGAACCTTTCTCAGATTTGTTCATTTCGTGATAATATCTTCAATTCTCTAATTTTGGTGAATATTTTTGTAATTTTTGGTAAAAAGTGATATTTTCAACTTCTTGTTAAAAACTGTAAGTCCAATTGCTTAGATACTATACATATCGTTCATTTTCTAATGATGTCTTCAGTTCTTTAATTGAAATGTGCATTGTTAACAGCGGAGCTATCCCAGCCGATAGGCTGCTTGTTCTGTATGTATCTGTTCTGATAACGTGAATAGATAAGGTGTTACAGTGGTCATTGTTCACATGTTTACTAATCAATAACCTTTTACCTGAGCCACAGCCAGAACAAACACAGACCCAGGGATAAAAGATTTTTTGATAAGGATTTTTGTATATACCGTACTCGACCGCGTTAGCACCCAGGGCCCTCAACTCAACTTTAATTCACCATGCGACACATTGAGGGGAATATTACGTCTTTGAGGGAAAATAAAATCACAAAATTAGTTGTGTCGTCATTGACTTTAACAATGAAGAAACAGAAATGGTCACAAAAATATGCATTTTTATTACAATATTCATTACGTACCATCCAAATTTACAAGATTAAAAATATTAGTCTGTTGGAACACAGTTGAGTCAAAATCTTCATCATTATTCCCACTGACGAATGTGTTGGATTGTATGCCAATTCTCAATGAAAAGCACTTTCCTCGATGATGTATTTGCATGATTTGATCTGCAGCAACGTCTATTATTAACCAATAAGGATGCTGTGTTGTACCAACGCAATTTTTTGGTAATTCTCAAAAACTTTCTGGTAACACAATGTGGAAGTGAATTATCGATGTCGAAGTATGATCTTTTGGAATTAAATTCAGTGAATAAATGACATGGTTTTTTTCAAAACTGGTAACTAGCAATTATTGATAGGTAAACTGAATATGACATGAATTATTTATTGCATTTGTAACTTTTCATAACAGGTCATTGTTGTAGCGTAGTTTACGCACAGTTACCGTGGTCTATGCATTCACAACATATTTACGGCGGTTGATATCCACATTGTATAATATAAAAACGAATTACCAGTATTCGTTAAGCAATGATGAAAGACCAAGTTTTAAATTAATGGCATTTTGAACGGGTGGGCACTGAAGGTGACCCAAAATTGTGCAAAAGTGGGGGGCGGGCTAACACGGTCAAGTATGGTAATTATTTAAATTTTATGTTTTTAAATGCTGCATAAAGTTAGTATGCAAATATATGTCAAAGTTTTTCTGACTAGTTGCTGTGCAATACCACACTTTATTTAATTCAAAAACCCAGATGTATTTTATCGTTCATGATTTTTGAAAAAGAATTACATTTAAGAGAGTTTCTGGCGTTTGTTGCATCACATCACTGCATTGGTTTTTACATGAAAACATGTATTGTCATAGGGCAAACTATTAAAACTTCCATGTATATACAAATGAGTCTATGACCTTTTATTTATTGAAAAGTTTCCAACATTTTACTTCATTATCTCGAGCGTAAAAAAAAATGTCGAATGCTTCATATTTGAGCTGCCCAGGGTATTTAGTACAAGATCAGCTGCCTAGGGTAACTAGTACAGGATCAGCTGCCCAGGGTACCTAGTACAGGATTAGCTGACATGGGTAACTAGTACAAGATCAGCTGCCTAGGGTAACTAGTACAAGATCAGCTGCCCAGGGTAC